TTAGATCAAGAACTTGCACATTTGGGGCATGGATTAAGGCTTCAACAGTAAAGATCCCCCTTTCATGACCTCATCCTTGCTTAATATGTCTCTTTACCTAAAATAAAGCAGCAAGCACTAATATGAGAATATATCATGCCCGTAGAGTAACTAGTTGCTCAATGCATCATTTAATTTAGATTTTCACGAGACACGGCAATGATGAAACTATAAAAGCGCATATACAAACGCTTGTTAGAGTACAAGTAAATTATCGAATCTTATAGGATATAACAACTCTGATATTAACAAAATAAAAGGTCTAGTGTCATCATAAATTTCCAATAACTTCATAAACAATGTACAAGTAAATCCATAGAAACAAAATCATTACAATATTACACAGAAACAAGTGCAACAATATCATAAATCCAACAAGTTTTGATATTTCAAAATTTTAATTTCCAGGCTGATGAGTGAAGTTGCTCAGCAAACCCAACTCAACACATTCCCTATGTCACGTAACCAAAACTATAACATGCAAAGGCAAAATTAAGACTCTGTCTCACCAGATTTTTTTACCTCAATGATAACACGATTCTGAGAGTGAAGTACACACTTAATAACCCCAGACTTGCCCTTGTCTTTACCCCACATAATCATTACTTGTCAAAAATGACAACAATAAATCCCTTTCAAAACAAAATGATAAGAAAAAATAATAATAAAAGGCATAACAAGGATGCGAAAGAAATAATACTAGCTTACATTGTCCCCTCTAAGAATCTTCCAATGCCTAATGAGTTTCTCTACTACTTTCCAACCCATTTCAATAAATAAGTCTAAGATTGTCATTCAATAGAAACAAGGTTAAATAAGAATCCAACCTCTGAAAGTAACATTAATCGCTTAAAACAAAAGTAAAAATGAGCAAGAATGCATATTTGTCACAGTTCGCACAGAAATTTAAGGACATTATTTAGGGTACTTAAGATTCAAAACCTTTGGTTAAAATCAAATTCAAGTTCACTTTGAGGTTCCTGAATCTATTAGTTACGAGTAGAGATTGCCTTTAAGTTGCCTTTGAGCTTCTGCAACCCATGGTGAAACTCGAGCTATGACTCGAGAAGGTACAGGATACAGTAGAAACTAAGGTATTAAAAACCAGACCTATCATTAAACCAATTAAAATTAGTGCTTAGAGGTTAAGGGTTAAACCGGAGGTCAAACCAAGATCAAATCGATTATGATAAAATAATATATTTTAAATATAAATACATTAATCTTTAAAACATTTTTATATATATTCAAAACTTAATATCTTATATAATATGTAATTAATGTTTTCAGAACTATTTTACTCATTGTTAATATTAATTCATATAATTTTTGTTTTCGTCCAATTTTTCTCACTTAATATTGTTATTTTCAAGTCTATGAACGTGATTGCATAAATCTGATTTTGCATCACATCTCACCACTCTCTCTCATTTACTTTTTCTCTTTCTTCGCGCACATTCACGTTCTTTCTCTTCTTGTGCATTCACTCTCCCTCATGTTTCTTTGTCTCCTCTTTCTTTACATCAAATTTACTCCTCTTTCATCCTCCATTTTCACATCTTGGGTTGACAAATCCTTCTACCTTTAGGCTTAATTTTAACCTCCTTCAACCTTTAGACGTGAAGCTACGCTGAATTGAGTAGGGAGGGAGAAAGAACTAGAAAAATGAAGAACGCCGAGCATGTCAAGAACATCAAAGGAAGGAGAAAGACTGAAGGTGAGAACACTGAAGGAAGTAAAAATGTAGAACTAGTTAAGATAACATAAGTAATGAGAATGAAGAATTGAAGGTAACTCAAACTCAAAAAATCAAAAAGGAAATCGATTCAGCTTTTCAAAAATTTCTTTAATGTCTTTTAATTTTTTAATTTTGGGGTTCTATAAAGCAAAAATAATTAGCTCACTTAACCCCGCCTAACCCGGGGTTGAGCGGGTTAATTCGAATTATTTCCTGAATTACTATGGTCAACTTGAGTCAATTAGTTCCCATTAAAAATAGCAAACCAGACTAAATAAATGTCCTATTCGTTGATTTGCATGTTTGACCAACTAATTCAGTTCGGTTTTACAAACAATGGTAGAGACAAAAGCAGGGTTAGGTTAGCGTGTATTTGATTTTTAGTTTATAAAAAGTTTAGTTAGTCAAAGTTTATTTAAAAAAAATAATTTAATAAAAGTCAGTTGTTATGTCAAAATTTATATTTCAATAATTTTTTTTAAAAATCAATTTGGTAAATAAATTTTTTTAAAATTATATATAGTGAAATATACTTTTGAATATACAATTACCAAAAAGAACATTTATATATAATGATTTACAATTTTTTATACAAATGTAATATATTAAAAAATGTTTAAACAATGTGATAAAAATTTTGGATGCTTCAAGACCCTATGTTTGAGAATTCACTTTCACAGCTTTTTAAATGTACATTTGGAAAGTTTATTCTCTCTCATTAAAAAACATTCAAATAATTTTTCATATCCCAAAAGTAGGAAAGTACTTTTAGGATATGGGAAGTGAGATACCTAGTAAGGTATTCAAAGCCAAACCAAAAGAATCAAACCAAATCAATTCAAATCAAAAAGGACAGACTAAAATCAACCATCAATTAAGTCTACTTCAATTTTTATGGCATACAAACCAGTTAGTTTGGTTTATGTTTCAGTTTTGAGCTCTAGAAATCGAATCGAACTTGACCAAACCTAATTAAAACATAATGTTATCTTATAAAATATCTACTAATCTTAACACCCAACACAATTTAGTAGTGTTTTAGTTTTTAGAAATAAACCCAACGTCGCTACTCCCAATCCAATAAATAAACCTATTAGCTTAGACCTAAATTCAAATCAAAACAGATGGATGGAATAAAGATGAAGAGTTTGAACAGGGATACAAATTCTACCGAAAATATAGAATGGGGATACAAATTATGGAATTAATTTCTTATTTTAAATTGACTAAATTATTCTATTTTATTTGCTTGTGGTTCCTAAGTCAATTCAAAGGAAATCCAAGATGATATGAACATAGCACCATCACAAAGGTGGTAAAAAAGGAGGAAAATTAAATAAATGTGTTAAAATTTGATTCAAACCAAATAAAACTAAAAATAAAATCAAACCAAACTGACTTTCACAAAAAAACTGATCAAATCCCAATTATGAATAAATTAATTAGTTTAATTTCACTTGATTTTTGCTCAAAATCAAACCACATAGAGCCTGGAAACACCCTTAATACCCAAATAGGGCCTTAAACAAGCAAAATGGTGCCGTTCCATAAGGGGATTCATTTTTTTCTTTAAAAAATATCTTTGGCCAAATTCAGGTTTTAGCAATCACTTATGTTTGATTCTTTCTCTTGTCCTATCTTATTTATAGGTAGGAAGTGAAATTTGTCTTATAAATATCTCATTAAATTTTTATTACAAATTTTTCATTTATCCTCAAGTAAATGCTAAAAAGAGAAAATATATTGTTAAATTTAATTAGAATAAAATTGAGAAATTATTAAATTTTTGAACAGAATTAATGAGTTGCAAGATTTTTTTTGTTTTTGTAAAATATGTTAAAAGTAACTTATAAATAAAATTAAGATATTTTCTACAAGTTTTGTTTAGTTTTAAATACAAGACACCTTATAAAATGTGATGAAGCGTTAACAAATTATTTTAAAAAATACCCACATATTCAATTGGTCCATTTGGGTGACATGTTTGACTTTAAGATTTAAATATAAATTTAATAATTTTAATTAAAAGTAATTTTTGGGGTTTTTATAAAAAATTGAAAGAACAAAGACAATTAACTAATTTCAACCATGTTTTTTTAACCTATGTGATTTGGTTTAAAGTGTTTTATAAATAGAGTGAGAAGAACTACTTCCTCTAACCCTATTTATAAATCACTTTAACATTTTTATCAAAATTAAGAAAACCTTAAATCTCATTAATTTTATTTAAAAATTTAATAAATTTTTAACTTTATGCCTATTAAATATTACTTTTTTAAAATAAAATACTCTAGCATTTAATAAACTTTTAAATATTCAATAGGGGTAAAATAGTAAATATGAACATGATAATCACTGAAAAGTCTTATAAATAAGATGAAAGCAAATACTTCCTTTCTACATATAAATAAGACCAAATGAGTATACTAGAAAGTCATCTGAAATTTTTAAATTATATTTCAGAGAATAATATTATTTTACAAATATTAATATTATTTTATAAGGAGTTAAACTAAGTTAAAAATAATGCTGTGAATTTGAAATAGCCACGCAAACCTCACCAGATCATATAAAAAGATATTTCTTAATATCTTTTTTATTATTTTTTTAGTTTTTGTTTTGTCTAGCTCTTCATTTTCGCGGCTTTCCCTTGAATATACAAATATATATTTCTCAATATCAAATATATAAATATAAAGTAATTACTTGGTGAAAAATATAAGCCTCAAATATATAAATTAATCTTTTTGGTCAAAATATAATTAAAAATTCATCTTTATGAATATAGTTTCTTCTCTGACTAGAAATAAAAAAGAAAGAAGGATGGTGATCGTTAAAGATGAGTGAGCTCCATTGGCACGATAGAATGGGAATGCAAATGAAACGAATATCATTATGGAGAGGTTTTATTTTGGAAAAAAATAAAATAAAATCTGAGATCTGTCTTTGCAACACAAGAATAATAGTTGGAAATACATGACAATGAATTTGGATCCTCTTTCTACATTTCCTCAATACCTTCTTCCGCATTCAATCGCATTTGTATGTTTGATTATTTATTTAATTTAATGATATAATATTACTAATTGTGATACTAAAGTAACTATATTAATCATTTAATAATTACTATAAAAAACTTTAAGATCTTGTTTTTAAAAGCATTTAAGTGATGATAATGAATGATATATTTATTTTAATCTTATAGTGTATTAAACTAAATAAATAATTTAAAATGGAGATGATATTGAATATGGAAAAATATAATGAGAAAGAGGACACAGAGACAATCCGAAAATACTTTGATTATTTGACCGTTTACTGTCACATCATCTCTTTTCACGAAAGACTAAGGTGAGCAAGCGGTGCTTGTATGTTGTCGTACGCGTACCGTCATCTCCATCCCGCTTACTTAAAATAATAACAAGAAGTAATTCCGTTAAAAAAGAAAAGAAAAGAAAATTAAATGGACATGGGAGGTCCTTTGATTTATTGGCGGACGCAGGAACAGCAGAACAGGACAGGGGTACAGTGAAATGAAGTAGAAAGCAATAACTAGAAGCCGGTGGCAACCAAGAGTGACAGTGAAATGAAGGAAAACATGACTGGGGAAAAGGAAAGGGACAATGGATTGGAAGAGGAGGAGGGTGGAGTGAAGACTGGTCGAATTCCCGGAGTTGTCGTGGGCTCTTCCATTTCAACTGGTGCTGGAGCCAATGATGCCTGTGCCTGTGCCAATCTCCGACTCCCAAATCTGCTTATTTTAGCTTCCCCCTTATCCTCAGACGCTGCATTTTGAATCCTCGTTAGTTTCTCAAACATTTTCACGGGATAAAAGCTCAGCGAATAGAGTCTATACTATATAGACATCACTTTGCTAGGGTCATCGATCGGTTACCTTGAGGGCTCCAGGGAGATGCTGCGGCCGTGGGTCCAAGTCTTGGCCCATTTCTTCCTATCACCGCCGGCCCTGCCATGAAATCATTCTACGACTCGAGTCATGCTTATTTAGCGTGGCACACTACAATAAGTTAATTTTTCAAATTTATCGTCTCACTTATTTACGTGAGCTGTGAGTATCATGAACTGTTGGTGACGTGAAAGCTATCATTTGTTAGAGCTCGCACTCTTAAATTTTTTAATGATTTTTTTGTTGCGATAAAATATGCATTTATAGAGTATTGAAATAGTCAAAAGTTAGTTCTGCCAACAGGATTAAGACAAAACGATATATTAATAAAAGTTTAGTCACGCAGACCAAAGTATTTGTTTTCACTAAGATAGGTACACTAGACCAACAGAATAATTTAGCTGTAAAAACATGAAACCAAACGAAAGATGAAACAATATTGAATATACCTGGAGCGGGTAAGGGAGAGCCAGAGGCTGCAATATAAACACGAAAAAGTTAACGGTTAATAACTGCAAGTTATAACTGGTGTGCTATGTTCATGAAGGGAAAAGAGAACAGGGTGACGAAAACTAAATTGCAGGCAAATTAAATGGACCTTTGCACTGGGCGGGCACTGCGTTCATGTTACATGCTCGGGTGAGGGAGAGGGCGAGAGTTGAGCTGAATGGTAGTTGGAAGGGAACGCTGGCTGATATTACCAGACAAGCACAATCCACACTAGTGTTCACCAAAGATCTCAATGATTCGCAACACGTGCTCGATGGTACTGCACCATTGTTGGTGCTTCCGGTAATCAAATTCGCGCACGGGGTGAAACTGCTTATCATTGACGTCGTGCACGGGGTGTTAATCTGCCCCGTCACTGCTGAATTTCCTCCTAATATTACCATCAACACTGCTGATATCACAGCCATGTGAAAAGCTTTGAGCTGTTCCATCACTGACTCGGCTCACACAAAGCTGCAAGAATTTGACGACGATTGGTGTTTGTAGCTCCATCAAATAAATATATGCCACCGGTCTAACATTAGTCCACAGGAGACAACTGGTAGGCTGGAATATGATTCTGCAGTTCAACCACCGGGACTAGTTAAACATGCAATGCACAGTAAAGGAATTTGCTTGTTATAAATCACCCTCGTTAATGGTTTGGTATAGTTGGATAGAACGGGAGGCCTTCTCTTTAATTCTACGGGCAATATGGAGGGAGATAATTATAACTCGTGCAACATGCAAACAGTTGCTGAGGTCGTTGGGTCTTAATACTCCCTTTATGTATTAAAAAGGGAATTAGATAGAGTGGGCGATCCATATTGACCAGGCATTTCTTGTGCCTAGCTCTTTCTTTGCAACCAAACCTTCAATTAATTTGTCTCAATTCTCACAAGAAAGAACAGCGTTATCTATCATGAATAGTAGCAATGCATTTAGAAGAATGGTGGCGGCCTGGTGGGTGTAGTTGTGGTCTTGATGGAAGTTCTTTGGAGTGGAAACCGCGATGAGCCACGGCCTGAAATGATGAACTGAATATATAACGGGAAGTTCGTCAACCCCCTGCTCTTGAAGCTGTTCACAAATTCGGAGTGCAGTTCAATCCTCGCCAGTGCCTCTGCTCTCTGTTCCTCTCTGGGCGTCGCCAACTAATCAAACACTTGCATTTCTGCAGTCTCTCCCGGGGGCTTGTAAGTCCAAACTCCACCCGTTTCCCCAGAGCAAAGGTTAATTCGGAGTCAGTTAGTGTTCTTTAATTTGTTTGAATTTGTTATGGGTTTGAAACAGTTCCATCGATAGATGGGGGCTCGTCTGATGGAATCGGCGTCGAAGTTATCAAAGTCACCCCCTTTTCCTGTGTCTTAATTGTCGCTAAATTGTACTTTTTCATGAGCAAATGGTTGCATAAATGTTGCAAGATGATCGTGTGAATGGACGATTTGAGCCGGATTATTGTAAAATGGATTATTCAAAGGTTTGGCGACTAGATCCTACGATCGAACAATGATCAGCAGAGCTTGTCCGACAGCATGCATGGGTTTCGTGTGTGGATTCTTTTAGACGTGGGCCTACGCGTGTGGAAAAAGTTTTTTTTTTTTTAAATCATCAAGACTAGTCTTTTAAGATAATTTATTTTTTAGTTATCGATAAAATAATCATCAGTGCCAAAAAAATTAAAGATCACAACGACTAGGCCATTCGTTCAGCATTCGTTATTAACAGTTGGAGTTGATCCATCCCATAACATCAATTAGATCATTCATCACCTACAAATAATGATTTTCCGTAAATTTTGTCAATTTGCGTCGGTGATATTGTTCAGTTGTAGAAGATAGCTAACTGATTTATATAAATTGAAAAAAAAAAGGCCAGTTAGTTAATATTAGTAAAAAATGCTGCTAAAATACACATTCTTTTAATCATTAATGTTAGAATATTATCAACATGGCTTATGAATCATATAAGAATAAAATCATCAATCCTGTATCTAAAATTTAGAAAAAGGCAGAATCGGGGCCATCAAAAGGAAATTGATCGCATGTAAGGCCCAAACAAATTCCGAACCACTTGCGCAAAACGAGGGGCCTTAATTGCAATTAATTGTTTTGGTCTAATATGTTAAAAAAATTATTTAATATAATAATGATAACTTATTAGAATAAGTTATGAAAAACAAAATAAATTAATTTTTAAAAAATAGATAACTTTTTAATATATGAACAAGTCATGTTTAAATATTTATATGTAATTGTTCTGATATACACAACAAGATATTCATAATTAACAAAAAATTATGAAAATACTTGAAAAAAAATTATAACATATATAGTTTTTTAGTATTTAGCATAATATTATAATGTATTAAAATTGAAGGGACAAATTTTGAAAAATAAAATAAATTATGTTTTTATAAAATGATAATTTTTTTATGTATGAATAAGTCATGTCCAAATATTTATAAATAATTGTTGAGATATACATTACAAAATATCCATAATTAACAAAAGCCCGTAAAATACTTGAAAAATAAATTTATAACTAACACACACACACAATTTAGCATAATATTAATCTCTTGTTAACAATGAATGAACACGTTGTGAAAAATAGAATAAATTGAGTTTTAAAAATTGATAATTTTTTTATGCATAAACAAGTGGTGTTCAAATATTTATAAGTGATTGTTCGTACACATATAGAGCTGGTAAAAAGGGCCAGCCCAACCCTGTAGGATTGGCCCTTGAAGGGCTCGAGCCTAAAAGAGCTAGCTTTTTAAATCTGAGTTCCCTTTAAACTCTAATATTCGAAGCCCGACCCTTGATATAGCGGGTTAGGGCCGGCTCTGTAGGCTTTAGGCCCTTTTAACTATTTTTATTTTTTTTAATTTTTTAATCAAACAAAAAATTACTTTATTCTAATATAATACTCAATCAAGAAAGGTATAAAAAAATAACTAAATAACATCTAAATGAACTAAAAATATAAATAAAATAATAGCAATGCAATAAGCAATGGATTGGTTAAGCCGACAAACATCCAATCAAAATTAGAAGTGTAAATGTTAAACTAAATGAATTATTATCATGGATCTAGATGAATTAGGGGATTTAAGGTTGTATTTTTTTAGAAAATAGCGGTCAAGGATTTCAGTATGAAATTTATTGCAATTAAGAATCAATTGTTGTCAAAACCTAAATGAAAAATAAGCTACAATGAACTATTATTAATTTAAAATGAGTTGTTATTAAAACCTAAATGAATACTTATTGATAAAGGCTAATTCAAATTTATAAGTATCTACTCAAATTTTGATAACAAGTGATTCTTGGCTGATATAATTTTTGATTAGTGATTCTTTATTGCTATTTTTTTTTTCTTTTTTACCTTCCATCCTCAATAAACATGGGTTAATATGTGATGTGAGTAAGATTTAGTTTAATTTTTTTTTCAAATCTAAAAAGAGTGAAAATTATGAGAATCAATTAAAAAAATTGCAAATGCGGGTTTAAACAAGTTGGCCTCCAGCCCTGCAGGGCTGGCCCTTTTAAGTCCTAGATTAAACGGGCCGGTTTAAGCTCGATTTGTCATTTTAGAGTCTTACTTATAAGCCCGCCCCTGCTGTTATACGGACTTAAACGGACTAGCTCGACGAGCTCGGCCCGTTTTCCTGACTCTATACACACACATATAAAATAAAATATCCAAAATATGTCATAACAAATTTCAGTCAAAAAAAAATGTCATAACAAATAAAAATTCTTGAAAGTAAAGTTATAATAGATGTATAATTTTGTATTATATATATTAAAGTATCTGTTGGCTTAATGGCTTCTATCATTTTGAGAAATTAAGGGGTTAATTGTTCAAATCCACCCTTAACCCCCTAGCATATTTGACCAATAGTTGACTGCTGTGTTAACACTAGAGCTTCGGTGGTAAGCGATGACGGTTTGGCACCGATGGTTAATGCAATAGTTTCGATGGCTAGTGACAAGACACTTTTTTTAAAAAAAGTAAGAAAAGTCAGGGGTATCATGGTAATTAAACTAAAAAAATTAATTACAATTGAGACTCTTAAGCCTGCATAAATGTTTTAGAATTTTTGGGACTTGCAGGCGATTAATTTACTTTTAAAGGCTTTAGTTGAGATTCTCTTTTAAAAAGTCCTAAACACTACCAAAATAGTGAACTACCGAAATGCTCCCTTTCTTTTACTGGTATGTTATCTCGTACAAGGCTTGCACAGTAAATTACCAACATTGCCCTCCTATTAGACCCCTAATGATGTGAGTCGATCCCATTTTTCGTTGCCTGCACGCCAACTTTTTCTGACTCCCACATCTTCGTGGTCTGCAGCGTTCCCATTTACTCCCTGAGCTTTTGTGTTTTTGCAAGTGCCCTGGTTGAAATTTCCCAATCCTGTTTTCCTTGGTTTGCTGGTACATTTTCTCTTAGCGCCTTTTAGTTTCTTTTTACTTTTATGTTGATGCTGTAAGGTGCTCTTATTAATTCATAATTAACTTTACGATTCAAAATAATCACAAAAATAATTTAAATGAATTACTAAATTTATAAAATTTATATAAATAAAATTTTAATATTTAAAACTTAAAATTTTATAAAATTATTTTAAAAATTTTAAAATCAAAGCAAAATATATATAAAAAATATAGACATTATATAAGGTAAAATAATATTAAATTAGGGTCAGAATAGCAAAAATTATCCATTAATTTATGGGTGATTTTTTCTCACTACCTTTTCCTTTTTCATTGTAAATTGAAATTATTTAAATTAAATCTATATTTATAAAAATTATTTAATCTAATTTAACAGTATAGATCTATAGTAAGTAATTCTTCCTCTCCGTAGGAGGCAAGCCAACTCCCGTATTCACGACGCTCCTACGTCAGTCACCTAATTAAATCCCACATATATGCACACGAGGCACACCTTTGCATAAATGACTCGAAGTGCCAAAAAATAAATAAATAAATAAAAAGAAAACCCTTTTAAATTTGCAGAGAATTTTTCTTCGCCGTGCAAGCCATCTTCTCAGGCGAAACTCCGTTCTTTCGTCTATCCCTGCCTTTCTCGAAAATTCTATTCCTCATTTCCTCGATCTCCGCTTTCAGGTAAAGCATCTGCGTTTAGCTACTTACTCGATTTTTTATTCTTTCTTTTAAGCCTGTCTATGGGATGCTCAATTGCTTAGGTTTTGGTTTCATTTGGCGGTGATCAATCCGCCATTTCTTTTATTGCTGAATTCGGACTGGTTTTGTGTTATAACTTTATATTGTCCATATCCTTATTGTATGCCGGAGTGTGGTTTCCTAACTGCGGAATTTAATTCGGACTGGTTTTGTGTTACGACTTGGCCTGTCTTTTGCCCAAAGTCTTGAGATGGCGCTTATGGACTTCTTTTTATTTTATTTTGTTTTTGGTTTTTCCTTTGATTAGGATATTTTAGTTCATTAACCTTGGATCATGATTTGGTAATTAGGAACTAATCTTGTTCTACAATTAATATCTTTTTTTCTCTGTTCGCATCTCGTGCCCCCAGCTGTGTAGCTGAATCCATGAACTGCCTACTATCCAAACGATGATCATAGCCTTTCTTTATTTGGTCTTACTTTTGGTTTGGATTGTCTTTGTCCTGCGAGGGTACATGAAGATAGTGAAGCTAATTTAGATATGTCCCCTGTGAGCACAAAATGTCCAATGAGTAGTAATTCTCGTAGCATCTTTTATATTACATACAGAGGTTCAATTTAACTCATTCACTTCACAAATTTGGTATTGTAAATAGTCAAGAGATGTTCGGCTGCAGGTTTATGCTTGGTTAAAAATAGTTTTTGATTTATAGTATATACTGTGTTACTGTTATGACCAATTTAAAATCATGACATTGGTATTTCTTTCCTGCTAGCTTTTTACTTTGCTTTGGCGTTTTGCTGCACTATCATTGGGCTTACCTGTATAATTCATCAAGTTCCGAAATGTGAAGGAATTTCCTTGACAAATCATTCATCAAGGGGGGAAGAACATCATATATTTAGTTGAACAGCTCTGGTTTTGTTGCTATACTTGCTGTTGTATCTTGTCTCTTTTCTTTTGGAAAAAAGAGGGGACAGTTGTTCTTCATCTAATGAAATTAGAAGATTCTTTGTATATATATATAAAATAAATTATCAATATTCTATGCTCAACGGACTACAATTTTTTGTTCAAATTGTGTTCATGCCATGTTAATGACCATCCCTTTTCATAACTGAGATATTGGATATGGAACATTATTATACATGACTGATTCTTTTATTTTTATGTAGGTGGTCCTTCTATTAAATAGCTTGAATTTAGCTGTTAAAAATTATCAGGCACGGATGAAACAATGGTTATTATGTCTGAACTGATTGAAGGACTTCCAGACGCTGTTGCAATTAGGTGCCTTGCACGAGTTCCCTTCTACCTTCATCCTAAGTTAGAGCTTGTCTCTCGTTCTTGGCAAGAAGCCATTCATAGCCTTGAGCTATTTAAAGCTAGACAGGAGGTTTGTGCATCCGAGGATCTATTGTGTGTCTGTGCTTTGGACCCAGAAAACTTATGGCAGCTCTATGACCCTTTACGTGATCTGTGGATTACACTTCCTGTTCTTCCCTCAACTATCAGGCAACTTTCCCATTTTGGTGCTGTCTCCACTGCTGGAAAGCTATTTGTGATTGGTGGAGGAAGTGATGCAGTTGATCCATTGACTGGTGATCAGGATGGGAATTTTGCAACAAATGAAGTCTGGTCGTATGATCCTGTAGCACGGCGGTGGGCCCAATGTGCATCAATGCTTGTGCCCCGTTCTATGTTTGCATGCTGTGTATTGAATGGAAAGATTGTTGTGGCTGGGGGCTTCACTAGCTGTAGAAAATCTATATCTCAGGCAGAAATTTATGACCCTGAGAAGGATATATGGATTCCAATGCCTGATCTTCATCGTACCCACAATTCAGCCTGTTCAGGAGTAGTGATTGAGGGGAAGTTGCATGTATTACACAAGGGGTTGCCTACAGTTCAAGTTTTGGAAAATGCAGGGCATGGATGGACATGGACCGTCAAGGAATGGAGCTGGCTTCAGGGTCCAATGGCAGTTGTTCGGGGATCCCTCTATGTGATGAGCCATGGTATTATTATTCAGCAGGACAAAGAAGGGAGAAAGATGGTTTGTTCTGCATCAGAGTTTCGAAGGAGAATCGGTTGCGCAATGATTGGATTGGGTGACAAGTTATATGTGATTGGAGGATTCATCGGTCCTGACAGGTGGAACTGGGACATCAAACCATTATCTGATGTTGATGTTCTCACGCTTGGGACTGAGAGACCAACTTGGCGCCCGGCAGCTCAGATGACACGGTGTCGTGGTACTATCCTTGGCTGTACACCACTGAGAATTTAGACCTTCACTTGTTGCGCTTACATGTAACTCTGCTTCTATCGAGGGTTTGGATCCCTTGAAGTGGAGGCAAAGAACGAGATACATGATGGCTTCTTTGTTTTGCATGCAAGCCATAAACTTTGTCCTTGTTTTGCGTTGATTATAAATTTATGTCATCAATGAGCGAGGCATGGGTCGAATCAAAACATTCAAGGTCAACTACTAGTAAAGAATTAATAATCTTATTGATGAAGGACTGTCTTTATAGTCGGGCAAATATCTGTTAACTTCTCTTTTCCGTGCTTAGATACTCAGATTGACCATGTTCCACAAGTTTTATATGGTTTGGCCATACGGCGATCAAATTAACTCGGGGTTCTCAAGTTCCTTTTTTTTTTTTTGGGTTGCCTGACATGTTCAAAGTATTTGACAACTTGCATTTTACATATGAAAATTGAGTGTTCTACATGTGTGGTAAAAATTCACGGCCTTTTTCATGTCCTCTTACCAACACAAGGTAAGACCTTGCGCACTCTGGAGTTTGGAGGGAGCCTTCCGAAAGTTTGTCGTTGTCAACTGTTATCAAAAGTCGAATGCACCAGAAAAATAACAAGAAGTAGAGTTCGTCGAAATTAAAGGAGGAAGAAAGGAGAGAATTCCTACGTCACGAGAAATGTAAAAAGGGAAATATAAATTGGAAAGAGAAGCATTGCTTACAAAAGAAATGAGGGGGCACACAAACTTGAAAGTACACTCACCTTTTCAAAGTGCAATGAAATTAACAATCCTTGGTCAATATCTTAGGCTGGACTTTAATTAATTTCACCTTGAAAGAGCACAATTTTACAGTCCTCATAGTGACTAACGACGGCGGAGGGCCTAGTTTCAATGAAATTCCCGGTTCCGGGGGCGGCGTTTTTTCAGCCCAAAAGCAAAAGCAATACCATTTTTTGGGCCAATATTAAGCTTCTATTACTTTTAAATTGTTTACGTGTTTTTTTTTAGTATAAATTATCCGGTATTCAAAGGTATTTTAGGTTTATTGTCCACTTCAGACTAATATGGATCTCACGCGAAGACCTTAAGTGATAGTGAGGTACTGATGGGACAACCTCTTTAAGGTTGCGTTAATTATTGCGTGTGTCACTTCTCAAGATTCGAACCCTCACCCTACCAACTTTACCAATCGTGTTATTGAATTTTTATACCAAAAAAAATTGTTTACGTGTTGTTGAATACGACATGACTAGTTTACCCAAAAAAAAAACATTTGACTCTTTAGGAGAGGGGGAAAAAATTGTGATCCCTTTACCTGTAATCTTGAAGGTTCAATTCATTTGAAGTTCTACTTTAAATGACGTGCGGATCTGCTGGTCAAAAACAAAAAAAAAAAAAAACATGTGGATATTTTGTTGTGTAAAATATATTCTTGAAAGGGTTTGTGAAAATTTAGTTCTGTAATTCATGGCGGTGGTGTTAAAATAAAATCAACGGATCGGTAGGATGCTTTGTCAGCAACAGTAGCTTCGGATGGTATGGGAACAGCGTGCAGAGCTTTCAATGAAGAACAGAGAGACGCGGAAGAGATAAAGATGATAAAGAAAGACGTAAGGAAGACGAATGCGAAAGAGTAAAGAGCTTACATTTTGGTGTGTGTCATTATTAATTGTTACCCTGGAAGAAGTTGAGGTCAATACCACCACGCACCTCCTTCCCATTTCATTTTGCAAACTGCAACCTCGTTCACTGTTGATACATTTGGATCCGTAGAATGTATAATGTCCTGTGTTTTGTTCCCTTCATAATTCTATGATCCGAAGGAATATAAAAGAAATAGTTTGTCCTTCGCTATCAAGTTCTTGCAATGGCTTATCAGGTGAAGAACGCAACCATCACATGCATCACGCAGCTCCAGCAAGAATGATGTTGATTTTCCCCTCTCATAATCGTGGGGTTGAGTTTGAGTGCAAGTTATGATGAAGCAGAGGCCGTGTTTGTCATCCAATTATTTGAAGCCTAGTGATTTCAACCCTCTCCTTTTTCCATATTTTGTTCCCACATTTTACAAGATATTTAAACCTAAACAAATAAAATGAGATCGACATCCCCATGTGCTACGTGTGGCTTGTTATTAACCACTACAAAATCTACCAATAATGACATTCCGATTCTAATCATGCCAAACATCTTGTTTGTAAACTTCAACACAAATTCATATAAGTGTTAAAATTTGTAACATACATAGTTTCCAAAATTTTATGCAATATACCAGACCCCTGCATCAATCAGTAGGCTGAAAATTTACACTCGTGAAGCCTTGTTTTCAGACGTTCATATGGGAACTGTGATTACCATGTAGCATGGGACAGACCGGGGGGCGGTAGTACAGCACCTGAGGTAGGTCCCACAGTGGGCCTAAAAGTACGTGGAGCGAGAAGTGGGCCCCGTCCCACGTGGATGAGGAGGGGCGTCTGTGTTGGGATGAATAATAATGACGTGTTTCGAGGAGAGCAGGCAGCACCACCACCTTGCCTTCGGGGTCCTACTTACCTTCCAAATCCTTACTTTGTCTCTTTATTTTCCGCTAATTACTGATAAGCACCACCAACATCATTTACTGGAGCTGGTAACCCCAACGGGTACGACTAAGGGTAAAAATAAGTCAAACCGAACTAAGTTTTGTTCAAATACATTTGAACCTACGCGATAAATTATAAGTTTAACCTAACCTAAAGTTTGTATAAATTTTTTTTATGACTGAGGCTTAAACTTACTTAAAATTTAGCCTAACCTACAAGCCTGTTTAAAGCTTATTTAAAAGTAAAATTTTTTAAATAAACTTACATTTTAATTTCAAACATCTCAAATATAATTTAGAGTTATTATAATATATAATATATAACTTAATTTATAAATTATAATATATAAGAATTGAAAGGACTTATTAACTATAATATAATATAACAATAAAGTAACAATACTAAAATTAATATATAAGTTAAATGTGATTAAAAATATAACTAAAAAATAGTTTATAAAAAGAGTAGTAAAAAATAAATTGATTAAAAATTATGTGGTGAAACTAATGTGTTTGTAATATAATACATATATATATATATATATATATATGAATAGGCCAGCCTGTTGGGCTCATAGATTAGGCCTTAAAAAAACAAGCCTAACTTATTTACCTAAACAAGCTTAATTAAAGGTCTAAACCTGAACGGCTTATTTAATAAGTAAGGTTAGGTTAGGCTGTAAGTCTCTGTTAAAGACTTGACTTATTTTTATTCCTAGATAGTTCAACTCTACCTCAATTCAGATTTAAAATATCTATATCTATATAAAATTTATATAATTAAATCATGGGTCTTTTAGATTTATTTGAGTTTATCCAAATATTTGAATTATTAAAATTTTTATTTTTTTTTCTATTTTTGTGTGAAATTTAATTTTTATTTAAAAAAATAAAAATTTTAACCAATATAACACCACAACACACGGTATAAAATTAAGTAAAATAACCTCCTGTATTTACGTTGAAGTAAAAGTTAATTCTACTTGTCAATAAAAAAGAATTCAGTTTTCAAACTCAACCCACTCCGTTTCGAATTTGCCCCGAATTTGTTATAACTTTATTTGAGCTGCCAAAATAAGCTTACATTAAAGAAGTAAATTTAGATCATCAAAACCTAACCCTAAAAATTTTTTTAGGTTTACTTGAATTGATTCATCAAGCTTGTCCTGTATTACTCGCTCGGACTTTGCCATCTCTTCTTATTGTAGTTTGATGAGGGCATCAATTAATCATGGATTCCATACAAATTGGTTATTGTTTAAGTGACTTCCTCCGCTCCATTGTATCAAATTTAGATATAATTTGGCCAAAAAAAAAAATCAAATTTAGATACTCTCTCTGTTAAAAAATATAAAGCATTTTTAATTAAATTTTACCTCTCAATAAAGTAGTCACTTACTTTTAACTAACCCTATCTTTTTATATTTACCCTTATTAAATATCTTACAATAAATTTATCAATAATAATAATTTTTAAAAAATAATAATTATATATTAAAAGATTAAAAATATTTTATATTTTTCAATGAACAAAGCATACTATAATGCAATGAAAAGATGCAAATTATGTCACAAAAAATATGTGTTGAAAATTTAACTCGGGTTGCAAATAGAATTGGGAATACAGGTGAGCCTAGTCTTATGAGTTTGGTTCTTAAGAGTCTAAACCCTAAAGCTCAATTTTCTATTTTAAGCCCCATTTCTCAAGCCCAACTTTTATGTGAAGGGTTTAGGACCAAGCTTGCAAGCCCTTTTTTAAAAAATAAAAAAATTAAAATAAAATTTAAAATTAATTAAAATATTTTGAAATTAAAAAAATTAAAATTCTCGTAATTTTTTAAAAATTAAACAACAAATATTTAAAATCTAGTAATAAAATTTAAATCTTGTTTAAAAAACAGTTCATTTTTATAAATATACAAACATAACAATTATAGAAAAATAAAAAATATCAAAAATTTTATACTATATACTGATATTTATTAAATTATATTAAATTAATTTTAAAATAAATTAAAATTAATAATAATATAATGCATATAGAATTAAGTGAGCAGGTTATTAGCTTCAAACACTTGTTTCACCAAAGAAAACAATAATAATAATAATATAATAGTCTTGAAAGGTTGCTTGAGCCTCAACTTTTTTTTACAAAGCCTATTGGGTCAAGCCTTCAAGTTTGATTATTTAAAAAAATTATTTTTAAAGGTTGAATTCTTATTTAAACCGAATCTTGAAACTTAATTCTTTAAGTATAACCTTTATTTTCGACTCTTAATTACAAAGTGTACTGACAATCAAGTTAGAACTTGTACGACGCAAATAAGTGCAGTAGGCGTGGTTTTGTACCGAGAGAGGAAGTTGGTTGGCCAATTCATAAGAATGGTGGGCGGTTTTAGTTTGAAAAAATTACAGTCAAGGACTATCAGACAAAATTTATTACAAGATTAAATAATTTTAATATTATTTTGTAGGATTAAAATGATCTAAATATGATTAAAATTTCTTTGGAAATACAAAACCACCCCTATATATATACACATACTCTTTTAACAAGTTTTCACTTAAAAAAATGACTTTCATTTTTAATTTAATAATAATTAATTTCTTTATTAATAAGTCTAAAAAATTGATTTGATAGTAAAATGAAATAAATGTTATGATTTGGTAAACAATATATTTAAAAAAAATAACTCTCA